ATGGAAGGAGCCCTAAGCATGATGAACACTTTATTTTGATTTACTTACTGCTACTGTTCCAATAAAATAATAGTTTTACAACAAATACCGTAGCGGCAACTGACACACAACATTTCATTGAAAATGGAACAAGAATTGGATAGTAATACAAGGAACGTAGTTTTATAGAGCAATGATAGAATTTTAGATATAAAGCTTTCAATTGCATACAACATTTAATCAAAATAGGATTGAGAAATGAGCATTATAAGAACATCCGAAGAAGCGTATAACAACCCAGTAAAAATTCTACATTTTGCATTCTCTCTAAACTCATTCAATGGTGAATTATATGAATTTCGGCAAAGGAAGTAAAACCGAGGCGGTTTCTTTACACTTGGGTTTCAGGCGAATATCTGCCGGAACCACCTTTCTTATATTTTGAAATCAACAGGTGATTGTAGATTGGCCAAGTGCGGCGCTCTAATCTTGCTTATTGACTAATTCATGTCCGCCAAAAACCTCTAATCGTAATCAATTTGGCTTTTAGTCTTTTAAGCTGTGAAACACTATAAATTTAGGACATTCGAATACGTACTTTAGGGCTCGCTTGGAATTAATCATAGTGCTAACGGTATTATCCTTTAAAAAATTACATTCAAGAAAGCCTTTACAAACAGATTAGTTCCTATGAAAGCTGATTCTCTTATAAATTCTCTAATACGCTCATCTGACTTTTCGTCCCTTCCAAAGCAAGGACACAGAACGAAAACTACTTATTGAAAGAAAACTCAAACAATACGCAATTTAAGAATATCCAAGAAAAAGAAGAAGAATATTCGAGAAAATGTTTCTTTAAGGTTAAGATAACGTTTATAATAAAGGAAAGATTCGTAAAGAATGCGTCAGAAACACTATGCCCTTTGCCTTTTGCTCTCTTATAAGTATGCATCCGCAGTCTTCAGAAAATCAACTATTCTAAAAGTATTTTGTTTCCTCGCGAACTAACCCGACATCATCTTGAAATTTAGATCATTTCGGAATGGCGATTTGCTGCGATGGCTGTAGATCGCTTATGCCTCTATCTGTTCTCA